TTCACATGATTCAAGGAATCTGAGCTGAATATCGTAGGCTTCCTTTAGCTCTGTCAATACCTCTGCAATAGATGGCCTCTGTGATGCATCCCTGTGCACTGACTCTATAGCAATGAAAGCTGCTTTCTTCATACTCAAGGGATCAAAACTTCCTCTTATGTCTTCATCCACTATCTCATATGCACCAGCCTGCAAGTATGGTTTGGCCTGCAATTGGTAGTTATAAACAAAAAATGTAAACCACACATTGATGTGAAAAAGTGTTTGGTATGCAATTTTGTTATAGGCTTAAAATAACGTTGATCCACCTAAAGCAATGAGTTTATAGGTCTTTCTCTTATGTTTAACTTTGTCTACCTAACATGTAATAAAATAATTTGTTATGTGAAGTGAACTTTTGTTACATGAAATCATTACTCTGTTATTATGTTCCCACATTCTTCATCGAAGAGTTATAATTTTCTAATCATCTTTCCAACCTAGACCACTTTATGAATTGATTTTAGCATTTTAACAATAACCATTGCTTTTACCAGTTTGTACAAACAATAAAAAAGAATGATATGTTGTTTACCCATAACACCAAGTTGAATGAATCAGGGTTTCCAGAGTGAGTCAATGGCTCTCTTCCACAAATGAGTTCCAAAAGAACAACTCCAAAGCTATATACATCACTTTTCTCTGTCAACTGTTGAGTGGAATAATACCTGTACAAGGAAATTAACTTGCATATATAATTTATTCCCAAATAAAAAAAAAACAAATTTATCAATGGCCTTCTTATTTCTTTTTCTCTAAAATATGACTTTACATTTTAATTAATTACTTATCATTTTCATCTTAAATGAATGTACGGTCTAGAGATCAACTAGATGAAATAAAATAAGAAAAAAAAAACTTGTATAACGTTGAGGAGCATACTAAAATTGTACATTATCTAAAACCTAAAGAACTAAAATAAAAAAAATTACAGAGGTTTTTTTCTTGATTACAGGTTTTGATTCGGTTCTCCATATTTTATTTTGTATTGTTGGTTCTTTTTCTCTTTGATATACATATTTTTGCAAGAGGAGGTGATTATTGAAATATAAAGGGTCAACCTAGTTGAAATTTAATAATGATGCTTTCTTATGTTATACCTCAATATGAATGCAAAATAAAAATAAAAATAATTTTGAAAAATTGATATTTTAGTATATTAAAAATGTTAAAAACTTTATCATAATTTACAAGACATACTCTGGATCAAGGTAACCAGCAGTGCCCTTAACAACAGTGGTGACATGAGTTGCATCTGCTTGAGTTACTTGCTTAGAGAGACCTAAGTCACAGACCTTGCCATTCATTTCCATGTCCAAGAGGATGTTACTGCACTTCACATCACGATGTATGATTCTTGGTTCACTTCCATTGTGCAAATAGTCCAAACCTTTTCAATAAATAAACATAATTTACACCATGTATTAAATTAATTGTAATAACACTACTGCATAATGATTGTTAGTATCTATAAACATGCAGATTATATTAATTACTGTAATTTTTTTGTCTTGTTCTTATAAAGTTTGAAAAGCCTATATTGTCATGTTTACCAAACTGAACAACATATTTTTATTAGGTTTATTCTTTATTGAGTGATTACAAGGCTTCTTAGATAGAAAAAGTGAAAATTATACTAAGGGGTACGCTTGACGGGATGTATCAATATGAAGAGACTCGCTTCTGAGATAATGATTATTAAGAAATCAAGTATGAGTTTAAGTCTTAATTAGATAAAAATGATAAAGTTAAGCATATTATAAGAAATATTGTCTTAAGGTTTTGGGTTGAAACTAATGTCAATCCCTTACGTGGGTTGGACTTAAGTTTCATTGATGTTAAATCTCACAAGTGAATCCCCCTAAAAAAGACCCATCTCATTGATAAGTTTAATCTTTCATTTAGTTAAATTTCACTTTAGTTCTTGACTTATGAAGATGTTTTTCACTTTAGTCCTTGATTTAGTTAAACAAAAATCAACATCAGTGACATTTTTGAAAATGAAGTACTACTAGAATGGTGTTTTCATGAGGTCCGGAATTAAAATGAGCTATGCGTATTGTATCATAGAGCAATAAAAATACATATTAGAAAAGATAGGGTCAAAATTGTGTTTCTAATATGATATAGTCACACTATTATTGTTTAGGAACTCATTGTTGTACCTTTTGCTGCATCAACAGCAATTTTCAGCCTTCTCACCCAGCTTAAGGAAATTTTTTGACAACCTAGAGGAAGAAAAACAATAAACATATGCATTTAGTGTTCATAGGAGTTTCTCCAAAGAAACGTAATCATATACAAATATGTATACGTAATAGAGAGAAACAAACTTGTGTTCAAGTCTTTAGTACCATAGAGATGATCAGCCAGGGATCCCCCAGGCAAGTACTCATAAACCAATATCTGATGCTTTCTTTCATGACAAAATCCTTCCAAAGACACAAGATTTTGATGCCGGATTTTTGATAAAAGATTAACCTAAGCACAAAGTAGATGTTGGAAAAAGAATTAGGTTTGAGAAAAAAAAAATTACACAAGGCATTTTAATGTAGAATTTTTTTCTTTTATCAGTAGTGTTAGTTGTTAGTGGGAGAGTTGAATCCACAACCTTTCTCACTCTCTCTTCTAATGTCTGAAACAAAACAATAATCTCTACTGTATAAAAAACTACATGTTTTGTGGTTAAGTATGAGATATATACCAAGAGAATGATTAAATTATTCATTTAAATATGGTTAAATTAAAAAATTTATCCCTATAGTATACACAGTTTTTCATTTTAGTCCATACAGAAAACACTCTGTTTTGGTCCAAAGAGATAGAACCTATTTCCTAGGTGGCTAGTAGCTGACCCTTTGTCACAATTTCACCATGCACAAATACAATGAAGCATTCAATGCTGTTTGTAAGAGAAATTCAGTTAGTGAACCTCATTGATGAATGAATCAGCACCCAGTTGAGATCTGTCAAAACGAACTTTGACAGCTACAGATTTTCCTTCTGGAAGTTTACCAAGATAAACAGATCCAAAACTACCCTTTCCTATGATTTCCTTGAAGTTTCTTGTAGCTACTTTGATTTCTTTGTAGGAAAATACTTTTGCAGCACCCCAGTTCCTTGTATCCATTTCTCCTCCTAAAAGACACAAGGATTTCAATCTAACACAGATGAAACAAAATGTTTAAGATAATAGTGCATGATGTAAGAGAATATACACACTTGATGTGTGGGAGGCTTCATAGTGTTGTTTGGTCTTGTATATCAATACTGAAATACACATTAAGAGAAAGGCTATTATGGCTCCTCCAACCGTGGCTAGTATGATTGCTAGATTGTTATGTACATTGTGCTTCTTCTGAGGAACTACAGTAACTTGTGGTGCTTCAATTGGAGGATTGGATGATGATGCATCATCATTACATGATGTTGTGGAAAAGGTAAGACACAAATTACCAGATGTCCTGCAAATGATCAAGGAATTAACATAAATGCTGTTTCTTGAGACAAGAATATTTATTGTATACCTGATCTCCAATGTTTCTTTGTTCAAAGACTGTGGCAGAGGACCTTGTAGTTTGTTGTTTTCCAGATTCCTTCAGATAGGAAAATGTTGTAATTAGAGGAAATATCTATAGAATCTTCTTAATTAAAGAAAATATCTATAGAATCTTCTTAATTAGAGAAAATATTTGTTGAATCTTCTAGATTATTTTTTCAGTATATTGTTTCCTTATTTCTCTTTTTTAGAATATTAGATTGCTACAAATAGAAGTAAGGAGAATGTAATTGATATGAATGAAAATAATAAAGTCATTCTCTTTTTCAAGTGAAAACATTTGTAATATATCAACTGTCATGGTTTTCAATAATTGATATGAATGAAAATAATAAAAACATTATCTTTTTCTGATTCTTGCTTACAGTAAGTGGAGGTCCTCTAACTCTCCCAAGCTATCAGGTACTGTTCCCATTAAACTATTGTTCTGCAAGTCTCTTCACATACAAGGGGAAAGAAACAAAGCAAAGGGTAGAAAAGGGAAATGTAAGTGTAAGTTTTCAGCTATTGTTTAGCAGAATTTCAAATTTCAAGCTACTAATAGAGACCTTAAATCCCTGAATTTGGAAAACATGTGGTATATGTTACTCACAATATTTGAAGGTTAATCAAGTTCTGGAGGTCTGCACCAATAGATGTTAACTGATTGAAACTTAAGTTCCTGAAAATTTTAGCTTATTAGTTTACTTGTATAAAAACAATGTTTTAAGTTCGAGCTATATGGAAGTATTACAGTTTCTCAAGATGCTGCAAGCCATCCAAATTCTGTATTTCACCAGTAAGTGATGTGTTGTGCAAATCCCTGATAATTATGCAGCCAAAGATGGACATAAGAAATTGAATATCAGAACCAAATATGTTACATGTTTGAAAACAATTGTATTTGTAGAAATAATAAATTTTATGTTTGGAAAGCTGTCTTCGGAAGCTGAAAGGAAACAGAATATTTTTCCACAATAAGCTAACCAAAAGTAGAATGATTATGTCCAATTAGTTGAAAGAAAATTACAATATTTTGAGGTCTAACAAGTCACCAAATGTAGGACTAATGGATCTCAAATTTATGTCTGAAAGATCCCTGAAAAATGTCATTCCTATTAGATCATCAATGAAAGAAAAGCTAGTATATTGGGAAAGAAAAAAAAAAAGCAACAACAATGTACTGAGTGCACACACAATGATGTAACAAGGCTTCCTTCACAGTGAATTTTCTCCCATGGGGAAGGCAGACATGGATCATCCTGCCATCCAAGATCCAATCCAGTGGACTGCTGAATAACCTGCAGTGCTGAAACTGGCGTCCAATTTGAGAAAAACAATAAGTAAATGAATCAAACTAAGTTAGTTTGTTTTGGGCAAACTTCTCCATAAACACTCCTCAAAGAGAAAAATAAGAAAAAAGCAAGTGAAATGAGTTTTTTCATATTCTAAAATTAGCTTATGCACAAGTTAAAAATAAGAATTTAGAGAAAAACTAGAAGAACTTGTAGTTTGTGCATAAGTTAACATTTCATTTTTCTTCTTATTTTTCTTTTTCATAAGTGTTTGTAGATAAGTTTATTCAAACAGATTTATTCTGGAAAGAAACCAAAATTTAGGGTGAGACAAGGAGGAGAGGAACCTGTGGTTGATGATGCATCATTTGGAATATCAACCATCTTATAAACCTCAAATGCATTGATCTGAGGATAAAAGCTGATACTCTTTAATGTTATATTCAAGCTCCCAATTCCCTTTCGCGTTATGTATAAAGCACTGGTTTCAGATCCATTTATTTTGTAGTTTGATTTTACTAGTTCTCCATTTATAAGAACATCAAATGAGGGGAAGACAGGAAGAATCCCTGCAAAGTAGAGGATGATGTAGTAGTCCCCTAATGCATCAAGAGGGAGGTTGTATGTCAGAGTATTACTTCTTGCCAAAACTCTCCCAGTTTGAAGAACAACAACTGGTGGTTCTTCTACAAGACTAGACTGTCTGAAGCTAAGTTGAATCTTAAACCCAATGGCAACATGAAAGGGTGTGAAACTTCTATCAGCATCCCATATTCTATCAAATGGATCCAAAGGATACCTGTATTTTATAGAGCTAAAGCTTCACAACCTTGGTTAACCACAAAAGGTATCACTATGAAAGAAATTGGTGTTGGCAGTACATTCTCCAACACACTCTTTCTAATTCTTTCTATTATTGGTTAAAATTTATTGAAAACCTTAGATTCATGAGTGAAACATTAGTTCAGTAGTGGAAATCATAAAATTTTATGATTTCAACAATTCCAAGAATGTGTTGCTAACATTTCTCATCTGACCGATGTTAAGTTTTCTTACCTTATGGAATCCTTTGAGTGCCCACAATCAATTCTATAACTCTTCTTAAGCAACTTGTTAGGAAAATCTGTCATACCATTTGTGTAGGCTCCCTGAGGAAGTGGTCTGATTTCAAGAGAAGAAATTACAGGTGAAGCCCCTTCAGGCATTGCAATTAAGCAGAATGACAGTGTATCCATGTTGACTGTCCATAAAAACTCTTCACTCCATGGATCATCTTCAGCAAGATTTATGGCGGCTGCAATAGATGTCCCAATTGAAACATAGAACTTAGGGGGTTTCCCAAGTCCATCATAGTTCTTGTACACAAATTTTGCTCTAACAAGAACCAAAGTAGTTGAATTGTTCACTGGTATTCTGTAACATTTTCGCCTTCTAGAATTTGGGAAGAACCGAGCTGAGATGTTCAGTGAGTTGGAACCATCACTGTATGTGATGGTAGTAGTCTTTCCTGTGGTTACGTAGGTGGTGTCTGGTACCCACGAAATGTTAGATGAATCCCTGAAACTGGTTCTTCCACCACAAGAAAGACTAAAGAAACCTGCACATTGAAATTCTATGAGAAACGTTTTGAACAACACAATCAGGTTGACCATACCAAAAAAGAAACTTGGTCATGCCCTTGATATTGAAATAATAGAACCACCAGTCATATTGTAAAACAACTTGAGTGCATTATAAGTTCTTACTGATTGCTGAGAAAATGCAAAGCAAACGCTAAAATCTTGTTCATCATTTCTTCAATATGTATGAAACCAGGTGAAGACTAATTTCATGTAAAAATGAAGTCAGCATAGACACTTAATGTTTTAAATGATCTCAAACAAAAGAATATGTATTTATAAACAAACATGATCAAGGAAATGGGATGCTGAATTTCTTAGTTAATTTTCTAAAACATAAAGTTAAAGCTAAAATGATGACACTATTTCATAGGGAAGTGTAAACATACCATCTTGTTCAGAGAAAGTGACAAGACAGAAACTACAAAACAGAAAGAAGCCAACTTTTGCGTCCCTCAAGTCCATGGAGTCATGAAAACCGATGCCTGTTATCTCTTTTACTTAACAATAGATACTATGAAAATAATCAGTGCATAAATAGTGTCCAAGTTGTTCAATGCACTGATTCATATTCATAATCATTTCCTGATTTAAAGAACAATGATGAAAACAAAATGCAGGACAAAGCTTTAAGGAAGAGAAAAGGAGGGGAAATTTGGAATGAATCTTTGTTTGGTAGAGAGAAAGGAAAAGATGAAATATGAATGAGTGCTTAGAGGGTGTAATCATTAAAGGTTGTTCAGTCTTTGGAAAATGGCAAATGGTTAAGGTATTTTAATCTTTGTTTCCTTATTGCACTAAGTAATCATTCCTAGCATGTTTGGTGATTTGATTCCTCTTTGGGAAATCATGAATAACAGAAAAGGCTTCACCATCCCCATCTATTTTGAAGTATGTGTTTTAGGTTTGTGATTTATGTTGTGATGTGTTATATTGTGGATCCACTCTAGTACATTGTAGAATGTTTATATTTTATTTTTCATTTTGGTAAAGAAGAAAGAAACAAAGAAAAATAAGAGAAAGTAAAAAAAGAAAAGAAAAAAGAGGTAAGAGATGAAAGTAAAAATATGTTGTTTNCACAAATTACCAGATGTCCTGCAAATGATCAAGGAATTAACATAAATGCTGTTTCTTGAGACAAGAATATTTATTGTATACCTGATCTCCAATGTTTCTTTGTTCAAAGACTGTGGCAGAGGACCTTGTAGTTTGTTGTTTTCCAGATTCCTTCAGATAGGAAAATGTTGTAATTAGAGGAAATATCTATAGAATCTTCTTAATTAAAGAAAATATCTATAGAATCTTCTTAATTAGAGAAAATATTTGTTGAATCTTCTAGATTATTTTTTCAGTATATTGTTTCCTTATTTCTCTTTTTTAGAATATTAGATTGCTACAAATAGAAGTAAGGAGAATGTAATTGATATGAATGAAAATAAGTCATTCTCTTTTTCAAGGGAAAACATTTGTAACATATATCAATTGTCATGGTTTTCAATAATTGATATGAATGAAAATAATAAAAACATTATCTTTTTTCTGATTCTTGCTTACAGTAAGTGGAGGTCCTCTAACTCTCCCAAGCTATCAGGTACTGTTCCCATTAAACTATTGTTCTGCAAGTCTCTTCACATACAAGGGGAAAGAAACAAAGCAAAGGGTAGAAAAGGGAAATGTAAGTGTAAGTTTTCAGCTATTGTTTAGCAGAATTTCAAATTTCAAGCTACTAATAGAGCCCTTAAATCCCTGAATTTGGAAAACATGTGGTATATGTTACTCACAATATTTGAAGGTTAATCAAGTTCTGGAGGTCTGCACCAATAGATGTTAACTGATTGAAACTTAAGTTCCTGAAAATTTTAGCTTATTAGTTTACTTGTATAAAAACAATGTTTTAAGTTCGAGCTATATGGAAGTATTACAGTTTCTCAAGATGCTGCAAGCCATCCAAATTCTGTATTTCACCAGTAAGTGATGTGTTGTGCAAATCCCTGATAATTATGCAGCCAAAGATGGACATAAGAAATTGAATATCAGAACCAAATATGTTACATGTTTGAAAACAATTGTATTTGTAGAAATAATAAATTTTATGTTTGGAAAGCTGTCTTCGGAAGCTGAAAGGAAACAGAATATTTTTCCACAATAAGCTAACCAAAAGTAGAATGATCATGTCCAATTAGTTGAAAGAAAATTACAATATTTTGAGGTCTAACAAGTCACCAAATGTAGGACTAATGGATCTCAAATTTATGTCTGAAAGATCCCTGAAAAATGTCATTCCTATTAGATCATCAATGAAAGAAAAGCTAGTATATTGGGAAAGAAAAAAAAAAAGCAACAACAATGTACTGAGTGCACACACAATGATGTAACAAGGCTTCCTTCACAGTGAATTTTCTCCCATGGGGAAGGCAGACATGGATCATCCTGCCATCCAAGATCCAATCCAGTGGACTGCTGAATAACCTGCAGTGCTGAAACTGGCGTCCAAGTTGAGAAAAACAATAAGTAAATGAATCAAACTAAGTTAGTTTGTTTTGGGCAAACTTCTCCATAAACACTCCTCAAAGAGAAAAATAAGAAAAAAGCAAGTGAAATGAGTTTTTTCATATTCTAAAATTAGCTTATGCACAAGTTAAAAATAAGAATTTAGAGAAAAACTAGAAGAACTTGTAGTTTGTGCATAAGTAAACATTTCATTTTTCTTCTTATTTTTCTTTTTCATAAGTGTTTGTAGATAAGTTTATTCAAACAGATCTATTCTGGAAAGAAACCAAAATTTAGGGTGAGACAAGGAGGAGAGGAACCTGTGGTTGATGAAGCATCATTTGGAATATCAACCATCTTATAAACCTCAAATGCATTGATCTGAGGATAAAAGCTGATACTCTTTAATGTTATATTCAAGCTCCCAATTCCCCTTCGCGTTATGTATAAAGCACTGGTTTCAGAGCCATTTATTTTGTAGTTTGATTTTACTAGTTCTCCATTTATAAGAACATCAAATGAGGGGAAGACAGGAAGAATCCCTGCAAAGTAGAGGATGATGTAGTAGTCCCCTAATGCATCAAGAGGGAGGTTGTATGTCAGAGTATTACTTCTTGCCAAAACTCTCCCAGTTTGAAGAACAACAACTGGTGGTTCTTCTACAAGACTAGACTGTCTGAAGCTAAGTTGAATCTTAAACCCAATGGCAACATGAAAGGGTGTGAAACTTCTATCAGCATCCCATATTCTATCAAATGGATCCAAAGGATACCTGTATTTTATAGAGCTAAAGCTTCACAACCTTGGTTAACCACAAAAGGTATCACTATGAAAGAAATTGGTGTTGGCAGTACATTCTCCAACACACTCTTTCTAATTCTTTCTATTATTGGTTAAAATTTATTGAAAACCTTAGATTCATGAGTGAAACATTAGTTCAGTAGTGGAAATCATAAAATTTTATGATTTCAACAATTCCAAGAATGTGTTGCTAACATTTCTCATCTGACCGATGTTAAGTTTTCTTACCTTATGGAATCCTTTGAGTGCCCACAATCAATTCTATAACTCTTCTTAAGCAACTTGTTAGGAAAATCTGTCATACCATTTGTGTAGGCTCCCTGAGGAAGTGGTCTGATTTCAAGAGAAGAAATTACAGGTGAAGCCCCTTCAGGCATTGCAATTAAGCAGAATGACAGTGTATCCATGTTGACTGTCCATAAAAACTCTTCACTCCATGGATCATCTTCAGCAAGATTTATGGCGGCTGCAATAGATGTCCCAATTGAAACATAGAACTTAGGGGGTTTCCCAAGTCCATCATAGTTCTTGTACACAAATTTTGCTCTAACAAGAACCAAAGTAGTTGAATTGTTCACTGGTATTCTGTAACATTTTCGCCTTCTAGAATTTGGGAAGAACCGAGCTGAGATGTTCAGTGAGTTGGAACCATCACTGTATGTGATGGTAGTAGTCTTTCCTGTGGTTACGTAGGTGGTGTCTGGTACCCACGAAATGTTAGATGAATCCCTGAAACTGGTTCTTCCACCACAAGAAAGACTAAAGAAACCTGCACATTGAAATTCTATGAGAAACGTTTTGAACAACACAATCAGGTTGACCATACCAAAAAAGAAACTTGGTCATGCCCTTGATATTGAAATAATAGAACCACCAGTCATATTGTAAAACAACTTGAGTGCATTATAAGTTCTTACTGATTGCTGAGAAAATGCAAAGCAAACGCTAAAATCTTGTTCATCATTTCTTCAATATGTATGAAACCAGGTGAAGACTAATTTCATGTAAAAATGAAGTCAGCATAGACACTTAATGTTTTAAATGATCTCAAACAAAAGAATATGTATTTATAAACAAACATGATCAAGGAAATGGGATGCTGAATTTCTTAGTTAATTTTCTAAAACATAAAGTTAAAGCTAAAATGATGACACTATTTCATAGGGAAGTGTAAACATACCATCTTGTTCAGAGAAAGTGACAAGACAGAAACTACAAAACAGAAAGAAGCCAACTTTTGCGTCCCTCAAGTCCATGGAGTCATGAAAACCGATGCCTGTTATCTCTTTTACTTAACAATAGATACTATGAAAATAATCAGTGCATAAATAGTGTCCAAGTTGTTCAATGCACTGATTCATATTCATAATCATTTCCTGATTTAAAGAACAATGATGAAAACAAAATGCAGGACAAAGCTTGAAGGAAGAGAAAAGGAGGGGAAATTTGGAATGAATCTTTGTTTGGTAGAGAGAAAGGAAAAGATGAAATATGAATGAGTGCTTAGAGGGTGTAATCATTAAAGGTTGTTCAGTCTTTGGAAAATGGCAAATGGTTAAGGTATTTTAATCTTTGTTTCCTTATTGCACTAAGTAATCATTCCTAGCATGTTTGGTGATTTGATTCCTCTTTGGGAAATCATGAATAACAGAAAAGGCTTCACCATCCCCATCTATTTTGAAGTATGTGTTTTAGGTTTGTGATTTATGTTGTGATGTGTTATATTGTGGATCCACTCTAGTACATTGTAGAATGTTTATATTTTATTTTTCATTTTGGTAAAGAAGAAAGAAACAAAGAAAAATAAGAGAAAGTAAAAAAAGAAAAGAAAAAAGAGGTAAGAGATGAAAGTAAAAATATGTTGTTTGGTTGAATCTAAACCAAGCTCAAGTGACATTTTTTTTAAGAATATCTTAACAACCTCTAGGGTTTTTCAGTGTGTTTTTGCATAATATCCTTAGATTAATTGTTTTAGGCAAGGAAATGAGTAAAAATAAAATTGGAAAACACCTTAATTGATTATGGGTTTTTGTTTATAAGTGTTTGTAATTAATTGAATTTTTTTATTAGAAAGTCAATCAAATCAAACATGAAATTCATATAAAATTTTGTTTGGCCGAGTTTTAATTTAATATAAAATCTTACTATTTAGTTTATATATTTCTACTCGTTTTTGTTCATGTAAAATTGTTAACTATTTTATTTTTTTTCAAATTATGAAACGTTGTATAATGAAATTGTTAAATGAAAAATATATTATTATAATTTTAATAAATTATTATTATAGGTGTTAGAGTAATTTCTAACAGATTTCAATATATTTTGATAAATTACTTTACAAACAAGTATACAAAATGTTTATTTTTTTAAGATGCTATCATCTTTATAAAGCATTGTGATTTATTCTAATTATATGTAAGATGTAGTATGTACCTTCATTTGATTTAAGAAGAGTTTGATAGAGGGTAACACAATAGTTTCAATGAATTTAAACTCTCGTGTCCTCTTAAAAATTTATTTATAATAACTCAACATCACAAAAATTAGACTAAAAGGTAGGCATAACACTTACATTACAAGAATAACTAAATATACTGACAAATATTTAGCGGTAGAATTAATTTTGTCGGTAATTACTTATTATCGATGGATTTATCAATGAACTCATTAAGTTAAGTTACCAGCAGATATATCTGTCAGTAAATTTGTCGGTAAAACATGTGGCTCATTACTGACAGATAAAATCTATTAGTAAACACCTAAGTAAAATTAATTAGTGATTTGGAAAATTAGTTTTTTCTTTTCTCGTAAGTTTTCTTTTTCTCGCAAGTTTCCCTCTTCTCTTCTTGTTTCCACACTGGTAGCCTCCCAAGTTTCCCTTTTCTCCACATTCCCTCGTAGAGCCTCGTTCCTTCATTTAGAGCCACGTTCCCTCATTCACATAGAACCATTCATAGAGTCTTCTTAGCAAAGCTAACTTTGGTGCCTCGTTTCCTCATCCATAAAGTCTCATTCACTCATTCATAGTAGAGCCTCCTTCATATAGCTACCTTCAACGCCTCATCCTATGAGCAACCTCGGTCCTTTTCAATCATCTGTCATGGTTCTTTGTCGGTAAGTCTCTCGTTCTTCTATTTTGCAAAGCATTCAACATATAATTATCAGACAGTGTAAAACATTGGATGCTTTAAAGCTATTCGGGATTTATAGCGCATAGCGAGCTTTTCCTTAGACGATACATTTCATAAAACGTTTGCTTGAATAACACTGTTTGAATAAAACATATTATAAGCTTCCGTGTTTTTATGAGCATTGAGATATACACTTATTTTTGTAAGGTGTTGTTTGTAAAACATTGTTCATTTAGACAATATGTGTTTGAAAGCATTATTCTATAATTCTTTGTTTATGAGATGATTCTCTATGAAAGACGCGTCCTTTCATAAGACATTTTTTTTTAAAATAATATTTATTTCAAAACGATATTTCATTTAATATTTTTTTGTTAAACTTTAAAACTTGAGTTACTAAATCGTCTAATCTCTAGATAATTCTTTATGAAAGACGCGTCCTTTCATAAGACGCTTTTCTTGTAAAATAATATTTATTTCAAAACGATGTTTCATTTAATATTGTTTGTTAAACTTTAAAACTTGAGTTACTAAATCGTCTAATCTCTAGACGATCTTATCTTAACAATATATTTTTTTGCTCATATATTAATCTTATTTTCTTTCTCCTTACTTATCTTTTGTTTTTCAATCTAAACAAATTTTATTTCCATTTTAAGTATTTTTTACAACTAACTTTCTTTCTTTCTTTTTTCTCTAGCAACTGCATAGCAATCAAATTTTATTTCATCACTGGAATTTTAATAAGGCTAATATTTATATACTCATATGAAATATTTTGATACATCCATAGTCATATGAAATATTTTGATACATCTAAAGGTCTATCATTATTTAAAAATAAAATTAAAAGCAATTTATAAACCATTGTCTCATCTTTAAAGAAAGAACGTTAATACACTAGTGCAGCGAAGGAAAACGACAGCGGTTGTTTTTGAATATATGCTTCGGTTTTAGAATTGCGGCATATACAGGCGAGGTAAAAAGGTCTGACACTTTAGGCCGCGGTTCCAACCGAGGTAATAACCTGGGGATATGACAACGATTCTTGCTTGAACTGCGGCCAAAACCCTGTTTTTTTTTAAACTTTCGTGTAACCTTTGACCTCGGTTTTACCACAACCGAGGTAATAACCTAGGGATATGACAGCGGTTCCTGCTTGAACTGCGGCCAAAACCCTATTTTTTTTTACAATCATACAATTATTCTACAAAATTACAATCATACAATTATACAATATATTGAACATACAATCAATTCAACATACAATCAATTCAATCATACAATCAAACAATTACTAAACATTCAAATTATCAATTCAAACATTCAATCATACATAATTATTCATATTCAACACACAAAAAATTAAAAATTAACAAAATGAAAATTAATAAACAGAATAATGCAATCATACAATCAAACAATTAATAAGCATTCAAATTATCAATTCAAACATTCAATCATACATAATTATTCATATTCAACCTACAAAAAATTAAAAATTAACAAAATGAAAATTAATAAACAGAATAATACAATCATACAATCAAACAATTAATAAGCATTCAAATTATCAATTCAAACATTCAATCATACATAATTATTCATATTCAACCTACAAAAAATTAAAAATTAACAAAATGAAAATTAATAAACAGAATAATACGAACCTGGGAGCGTGAAAAACCACACAATAATGGAGAAGATGGAACAACCCGCGGTCTGAAACAGAACAAATTTAAAAGAAAAAACACAATACCTACAAAAAAATACAACAAAACGTAAGTTTGATAATCTGAATCAATAAAAAAGCATATCAAACCAACCCAAAAACTAAAAAAAATGAAAAAACTCCGGCGACCAAAGCCAAATTTGATCGGATACAAACGTAGGTGATGAAAAATGAGAAAGGAAGTCCTTCTATAGTGACGACAGTGGCGCAACGGTGGCGTAAGGAAGAAGGGAGAAAGGTCGCGGCGGCATAGAAGAAGAAGTTGCAGAGAGAAATCGCTGGAGAATAAGAACTGTTCGTGTTCGACGAAGACGAAACTGTTCACTCTCTATAATATTTTTTTAACCTTATCAAATGTTACTACTTCGGTTCATTAGAAAACCGTGGTAATAGAGGGGATACGACCTCGGTTCCTAACTTAACCGACGCCTATTCTCCTAAAAAAAAATTTAAAATTGATCTGAAATGACAATTTTGAAATTTTTTTCAACCTTTATGCCGCGTTTCCTCGCCGAACCGAGGCCTATTCTCTTAAATATTTAAAATTTGTTCAGATCAGGGAATAGGTCGCGGTTCCCCTAAGAACCGAGGCCTATTCCCTAGGTACAATAGGTCGCAATTCCCCTCAGAACCGAGGCCTATTCCCCTACAAATTTATTTCAGGACTAACTTGGCGGGAATGTCAAAATTTTGCAGGGACAATGGGCCGCGATTCCCCTCAGAACCCAGGCCTATTCCCCTGCAAATTTATTTCAGGACTGACTTGGCGGGAATGTCAGAATTTTGCAGGGACAATAGGTCGCGGTTCCCTTCAGAACCGAGGCCTATTCCCCTGCAAATTTATTTCAGGACTGACTTAGCGGAAATGTCAGAATTTTCCAGGGACAATAGGGTGCGGTTCCCCTCAAAACCGAGGCCCATTCCCCTGCAAATTTATTTGAAGACTAACTTGGCGGGAATGTCAGAATTTTGCAAGGACAATAGGTCGCGGTTCCCCTCAAAACCGAGGCCTATTCCCCTGCAAATTTATTTCAGGATTGCCTTGGGGGAATGTCAGAATTTTGTAGGGACAATAGGCCGCGGTTCCCCTTAGAACCGAGGCCGAAAGACATATATTGTCGCGGTTCTGTTGCAACCGAGACCTATACTGTCGATATAATTTCAAAAATGTCACCGCACAATATTATGCTACGGGTTCTGGTGAACCTATGCATAATGTGCACAGTAATAAATCAATTTTTTACTAATGATAGAACAACCAAATATCAATCAAGGAACACTTTTAACAATGTCAAAGAATATGTAATCGAAATTAATTTTATTATTTTATATATTTTTCTAATAAAAATCGTTATGGATAAGCACGTCCAAATATAGTTTTTTCTCTCCTTTATTTGTGTCCATTATCTATAAATTATTCAAAATTCAATGCTTAGAATGCAAGTTTTGACTAATACGTACCTCATTAAATGGAAATAACGCATGCA